TGGGTATGTGTGAGAAATAAAAACAAATAAATAGTGAACTTGCCAACCTTCAGTGACCTTTTGTGTCAGACCCCCAGCTGTGAAGCGGTCTCACTTAAAGAAACACTGACCCCCCACACAGAGAGAAAACACAGTCCGATTTTTACGCCGACCGGACTCGGGGAAAGAACACAAGGAACCTTCTGCTAACCCGCGCATCGGTTTCTAACTTGGACTTCTGGAGCGTGTTCTCTTTCCCACCCGGGCCTCCATCTGCCATCTGAGAGGAGCAGAGGAAGCTTGGCTCTGATCTGTTATCAGCTGATGCCCTTTTCCAACTTGGGCCACATGATATGACTGAGTTTCCTATTTCAGTTCCTCACTCTGGACCTGGCTGCTTTCTGCTCTGCATGACTTCCTTGGGCAGCCCTGTCGTTTACAGATTACATAACAGCCGCGCCGTTTAATGCTGCTTTACTTTAATTTGATCAGTCTCAGAATATTATCTGTTTATCAAGATGTATGCTGTGATACAGTGAGATGCTTACTACTTAGCTCAGTCTTGCTTACATAAAGGTGAACCTTAAAAATAGTGAACAAGAAAAAATCTGGACATAAAAACAGACATTTAAAAAAAACAACCAAATCTGAGTAGGAATCAGGATTAAATATTAACTGCAGTAAGATCAATTTGTATGTATGATATATAACTTCTAATAACAATTGTACTTAATTTGTGTAGCTTTGTTGTGTTAAGTGCATAAAATGTTAATATCTACTTTATCCAAATTTTAATCGCGACACACAAGTAAGCAGTGAATAGTCCTGCTTAAATAACTCTTGGACATGCAAGAAGAGGAAGCCTCATCAAAGATCAACAAACATTTGTGGTCCAACCAAAGCATAAGAGCATAAACAATTATAACAGAGTCATAGACTGACTCAGTCCCACAAGTCTTCGCTCTCCAAGCGTGACGCAGCCACGCCTTGTCGTCACTACATTTCCATCCGACTACGACTACGATATTACATAAGTTGGAGAAACGATGATAATGTAATTTGCTCCTAGAGTGGGTTCATGTTATTTAGAACATTGGGTAGTGATTAACTTAGCCCACTCTGTGCATATGTCTATAAAGAAAGAGGAATTTAATCTGATGATCTTTTAAAAACGTTTTTGGCCCATTTTAGGAACTACTTTTGACTGCACACGCTTTAAACTGGTGCCTTATGTGGAATTCTGTTTTCTTGCCTTTTAAACTTTAAAGCACCTTATTCGTGTTTTACGTTCTCTTTTCTTGGAGTAAAAGTTGATAGTATGTTTTGTAATTTTACTGCAATTATCAACTTTTGATGTTTTAATCGTGTGTGTTTGTGTGTGTTTGTGTGGAAAAAGAGTCCATAAACACCTGGTTATTCTCCGTCAGTCATCCTGCAGGAGCATGTTATGAAAGAGGCTGATGTATTTTAAATACTGTAATATGATCATAATACCCCTTGGCGGACATGCTTGTGTGTGTGTGTGTGTGCGTGCATTTAACTGTGTGACACTTCTTGTGGGTTTGTGCCAGGTGGATCTTGATTTCTATCATATGCCAGCAGTGTGTGCACTTGCAATGTTCTCCGTCCCACAGCTCGCTGTCATGGTAACTTTACAAACATGATCATAAACACAAGTGTTTTCAGTGTCACTGTGATGATTTTTATGTGTGTGAAGTTTTGTGCTCAAAAGCAGGAACATTTCCCTCCGTCAAACTCAGTGTGGCCTTTGTTTTATCTGTCCATCCGTCCATTGAACCGCCGCTCCGATGTGCCAAATGGTGAACTCTTGATTTTTAAATTTTAAAATGACCTGAAGTATTCAGGACTCGAAAAAGGAGTTTTTACTTGAAAATGTCTCGGTTATCATAACGGTGATTTTTACTTAAATCTTTTCTACACAAATCAAGTTGCTTTGTTTGTTCCGTTAAAATGTCTGGTGTGTATTTGTTTAGCAGAGGAAAATATAACAACAAAAACTAAATACCCCAAATTATAAGTTTGGAATTTAAGCAAAAACTTTGGATAGTACTGCTCAACTTTGTGCATTTCAGTCTCTATGTGATTTTATAAAAAATATTATCATGTTTAACTTTATTAACTTATGTGAGTTTACGAAGAACACAGACAATCTGAATCTTTGCTTTGTTTTTTTGGTATTGGTTTCCTTTATTAGTTTTTTTTTTTAATGTAAAATAGGCAGACAATATTTCATGCTTTTTGAACCTCCAGACTACATGTGATTCATTTCAGTTAATGTTGACATTATTTTTAAAACAAGAAAATGTTTGATGGACTAAAAGATTACAAACTTTAATACAACCTACCTTTTTTTTCGGACTATAAGCCGCTACATTTCATCCTAAGTTTTGAACCATGCGGATTGTAGCCCGGTGCGGCTTTTCTGTGGATTTTTCTTCAACCGCCAGGGGGCGCTTTAGCAGGAAGTGAATCATTGGAAGTCAAAATTGAAAATCAAAGAAGAAAGTGCTAATTTTCATTTAGAACAAGCACATGCAAGAAGCAGGCACGATGGAGAAATTTCTTCAAACTCGTATGATGCAGCTTTTAAGTTGAGGGCCATCGATCTGGCAGTACAGGAGGGAAATAGAGCTGCTGCATGTAAGCTTGGTGTGAATAAAACCAGGGTTCGGCTTTGGTGAACGATGGAGATACCAGCGGCTTAGACAGGTGCGGCTTATACATGTACGTTTCCAGGTTTTTTTTGTTGTTGTTGTTGTTGTTGTTGTTTTTAAATTGTAGGAGCGGCTTATAGTATGGTGCGCTCTGTAGTCCGGGAAATACAGTAGTTTATTTTTAAGACTTAAAATCTTGATAATCCACTTCTTTGTGCCCCAACAGTTCTGACCCATCAGGGCAGATACAGAGGGCCTCTAGATCAGGAGTGTTTTCCCAACAAGAAGAATCAGATTTAACCTTGATATCTTGCAGCTTCTTTGTGTAAAACTGCATGAGAAAAAGTTAACTTCACTGTGGAAACTTAAAACAGCAGGGGAAACCGTTTCTGCCATTAATTTTCACTCTGTTTTAAGGTTTAAAAAAACAAAACAAAACAGATGCTTCCCGGCGCATCACACAGAGAAACATTTGTAATCCGGATTTTTCAACTGAATTTATAAACAGTCTTTGGGCCCACATTTCTAAACATTGTTAGGTGATTTAATATCTCCAGCTGGTGTTTGCAGATCTGGCTCAAAACGGTGTGTGTTTGTAGCATCATACACAGCAGGAATTGAAACCGCCGACTGTTTAAAAAAAAAAAAAATTCTTTGCAAAACTTAACTGTTGATACAGACATGTCAGTCTGCACAGAGTGAACGGTGTGGATAAACAAAGTCCACCAGAGAGCGGTTCAGACACGTAGTGGAGGATGTTTAGAAGGACTTTATGGCTTTGTAATTGCACTCTGGTTGTTAAACGAACTTTTTCCAAGTTTGGTTTTTATACAGAACTAACACAAAGCTGAAACAACTGTGGTCTACATCGGGCATCAGGGAAATCTTTTGGCGTCAGATACAGTTTCAGTAAGTGAAGCAGCAGACTGATAAAAATACGAATAGCAGGACTTTTTTTAGATTCTTGGTGACATTGGTGAGCATGGTAAAATGGTATATAACACAATACTTTGCAAACGTCAATCAGTACAAACAAATGGTGCATGATTTTGAAGAAAGGGAACGGATATATAAATCAAGTGCTCCAAATACCTGCAAAATTCATTCCCTTTATTAATAAATAGACTCCACATTTGTGTGACATAATCTCAGCATAAATCCAGCTGTTCTGTGAATGGCTCAGGTGTTTTATTTATTTATTTATTTATTTATTTTTTTGGAGAACATAAGTTATTAAATGGTATCAAGAAAACCAAGAAACACACCAAAGATGTGGAAACGTTTAAAGCTGTGAAAAGAGCTTTAAAAGCTTTTCAACATCCCAGAGCACTGGTTATTCAATCATCTGAAAACGGAAAGAGTATGGCGCTACAGCAGATTGGACAAGATGTGGCTATTTACTTAAACAGGCCAAGCAAGGAGAGTATCGGAGAAGCAGACAATGGGCCTATGGTAACTCTAAAGGTGCTTCAGAGATCCACAGCTCAAGTGGGGAGGAAAAAATGCTGAAATAACTATTGTACAAATCAGGCTTTTTGTGAAAAAGTGGCAAGAAGAAAGCGTTATTGAAGGACTGGAAAAAGAAGTCCCATTTACATAATTGATCTAACCCTAAACATTATCCTGAAAGTGGTTTCATATTGAGACTGTAATCTTTAGTTAAGATTAGCCTGAACAAAAATGCATGCCAGACTTAACTTAAAATGATTTGTAAACAATAGATGATGTCTTTTATATTAACAATTTAATATTTTGTTTTGGTCCGTCATAAAATCCCAAAGTTTGTGTTTTTAACATGAGGACAAAGGTTAAGGGGGTATGAATACTTTTGCAAAGTGCCGTTTCTGCACAGTCAACAAATGTTATAGCCATTCAAAGTACATATTTTTTTTCTCCAAAGTACGTGCATGTTTCCTCTTTGCTCTTTGTCTCTGCGTGGCACACTGTAGGTGCTGAGCCTTTAAAAATCATTAAAGGATCAAAGGACCTGAGTCATGTGAGCTTTTGAGTGCCGTGGCAAACACTGCGGTTAGAAAACAAGTCCCAACAGCGTTTGAGGTTTTGACTGATTTAAAATCCAATGACTTAAAAAAGACAAACTGCCACGCTTTAATCTCAATTTACAGTTGGCTGTATCCAAAGCAAACAAGACAAGTGGATTTTCGGATGGGCACACTAATTGAAGGCTTGTGTGTGATTTAGTATAAACAGCAACACTGAGTGGATATGTTTTGGGTAGAAGAGGAGATGTGCAATCGTGCGAGCAGGTGCTATGAGAACGGAGAACTCCTGAAACGAGAAAGTGGTATTTCAGAGTGGTTTTCTTTTAATTTTCTCTTTCCACAGAGATGTTCTTTCCCACAGATGTTGGGAGTTTGAACCTCCCCCCGGGCCGTCAAACTCAAGTGACGTCACAGGACATTCTTCCCAGCGACTTCCTGGCTTTCGTGGCCCCGGCCTTCATCACCGTCTGCAGCATTCGCTTCCCGTGAGTGAGAGTTATCCCGTTTCCCGAGTTCCAAGAATTCTGCACCAGTGGCTGCAGGACAATATGCAACGCAAGTAAACAAGTACCTTTACTTGAGTTTTAAAATGTGTTGTGGAACATTCAGGTTCTCCTGTAAATGTCAAGAAAAAACCTTCCAAACCAAATTGAATGCATCTGCTATTAATGAGTGGAACTTTAACTGACTAGGTGTGTTTTAGCTCTTGCTTAACGTGAACTTGAACGCAGCCGTTCGATGCGCACATTACAGGTGACATTCCTACTCAAATGAGCTTATCTTGGTCTTCTCATTTGTTTACATCACAAAAGCCTGACAGTTTAACTAGGGTGTGCAGACTTTTGATGTGTACTGTACTGTAGTTTGGTTTCAATGACTGCCGACTTTATTTTCCTGTACTTGAAATGTGACAGTTGGAGACAAAGAGAAGAGAGGTTTTACAAGAGTAGCCTGTGCTGGTTCAACCAGTCAGACATGATCAACCATCGATCCAGGTTTATGATTTTCCTTTTATTATGTGTATATATACTTCAGACTGTGTTTGCCTTGCGGACATATGTTGCAGGGGGAAAACGCATATATTGGACCTATAGGACATAAATATGCATACACAACTAACTACACAACTAACTATATAAATGTCTACTGTGAACATTCCTTCAGGTAAAGAAGTGTCTTCTGCATGCACACAGATGCAACTCTTCCAGTGTGGTGCTCATCTATACATGTGGGCACATGCTGCTTCACTTTAAAGCATACCTTTTATACATATTGGAAAGCACACATGCACCCAGTCAAGATGATTCCTATAATTCCCACCTGTAAAGATCCACTTTGCACACATTAAGCAAAACAATTTTCTGGATCAAAGCCTGTATGTTATTCTGTAGCTTAAAACAGAAATAGTTTATTGTATTTTATGGTTATCACTGGACGGTGATCTAGATCATTTGAAATCTCAGATTTTATTTTGTTTTTCTGGTATTTTATTGCCATCATGATAACTTCTTTGCTTATTTATGATCCTGCTTATTCCGTTTCTTGGTCAAAACCACTGAAGCTAAAAAAAAACAAACAAACAAAAAAACAATACAATCAACTTATCAGTCTAGATTACCCTAAAATAGCTGTCCACATTCCTGCTGTTCCTTCTTTTTCCAAACTGGAACTTGAAAAAGACCTACGTGCAAATAAACTCCAACAATGAATCTAACATTAGGAAATTACATGATTAGCACCCATGCCAATCACAGAGCTACATAATTATCTCAAACACTAAAGATCTTGAAACCACCGCTCTAATTTACTCTTGAGAAAGCCCTTCAGCACTGAATTATTAATACCAGTTCATTAACTTGGTCCCGGCATTCCAGCATTGTAGCAGACTGGGGTCCAGCTACAGCAATAACATATCTTATGGAGGCCTACTGTTTAGTGGCTCCAGTTGCTTAATATGCCTGATCAACACTTTTGTGTTACTGCTTTGCTTGTGGAAAAGAAATGTAAGTGGTTTGCCCGACAGACGCCGAGGATGTTTGTTTTTCACTGTGAAAGTCATGCACCAATACACTCACACTGCTGAGAACAGTAGAGGTAACTAAACATCAGTATGGCTATTTATTCAACTCCACAGAAGCCCATAAATAAAATGTTTAGATGTTTGCACAGGGAGATGTGATGCTGGAAAAAAAAAAAAAATATGTGAAGCATAGTTTTGGTCATGGGAAATGTTGAAAGTGCAACACAAGTGTGTCTATATGATCTTTCTATGGCACGCAACAGAAATAGTTTCTTGTGCTTTATGGTCATCAGTGATCAATAAATATAATCCAAATCATTTTAAAGTTCGGACTTTACATTCATGACTTTTCTAAAGTCATGATTGCATTAATAGACAATGGTTGTGGATTGTGCGTGAAACAAGAATTTATGACTTCCACTTCTGTTATGGATTCATGCAGAGAAGAATTAATAAGTATAAATAACAGTGGCTTTGTGTCCCAGTAGGCCTGATCTCACTGTGACGAAGCTAACGCTAGCTCCATCAGCACCACAGACGCAGTGAGGCGCTTCATTGACAATGGCTAGATGATGTAAGCCTGAACCACTGCTGCAAGCAATAAAAACAATTCCTTAATGCTTTGCCTCAACTTTAGATCTTTATACCTCTGGAAAATCTTACATTACGCCTCTGGATTGGCAACGATCCAATTTTGGACACAAGTTCTTGTCATTTTTTCACAAATTTGTTCTGTAAACTTGCATTATGCCCTTTGTACCTCTGATTAGACACGACACCCACCTCCAAAGCTTGTAATTTAAATCTGCATTCCTTTTTTTTTAAATACACTTATGTATACGTCTGCATTTGTATACATGCACATAGAAGCTGCCAGGCATGCATGCAACACCAAGCAGAAAAATTCAGGTCTGGGTTTGTTCCCACAGACACTCACTTTGTCTTATCCAGTGACCTAACCGCTTTGCCGAAGGGCAGGGAAACACAGATAGAAAGAGGTCTGTATTTACCTCCGAGTGACCTCAGTCTTAACACAAACGCATAAGCCCAACAACCTAGCGAATAGCAACACATTCCATCGAGAAAGTCGAGGACAGTTACAATAAATGTCACTTCTCGTTTTAGCACCACTTCTTATGAAACAAGTTCAGAAAGGAGTTCTGTATTCGTATCCGAACTACGTGCATGGACTCTTTGTTTAATGATGAAATATTTACCTGAAAGAAAAACGTATATCCAGTAATGTTTTTTTGTTGTTGTTGAAGAGAAGAGTACATAAGGAGTCACAAAAGTGCCTCAGACAAGATTGAGAGTGAATGAGAGAAGCTAGCTTTACAGGCCTAGTGTGCGTTTGTGATTTATGTGCATCTGCTGGGGTGTGTGCATGCATACTTGAGTTGTAGTGTTGTAGAGTCCCAGCGAGCCAGCCCAGGCGTTAGAGAGAGGGGCTTCCTGCTGCTTCTTGGCAAGCGCGACTAGGACGAAGTGGACAAAGACGAAAAAGCGTGGCACAAAACTCTCAGCCCAAACTCCGCTCGTCGTGATTTATTCCTGTGCTCTGAGGAGCCACTTAACTTAATTTGACATTACTGTCATCATAAACCGTATCATGCAGAGAGCAGAATGAGTCTGTCACTAGCTGAAAACAAGATTCCAGCCCAAGGGGAAGCAGAGTTTGTGGTGACAATAATGGTGCCAGATAACTGCTCTTTTTCACCCTGACAATGTAATTATGAGTTTACGAGAAAGGAGGAGAGCAAGAGACGGGGAGACGGGGGTCATGATTTAATTGTTTATATCTGACACTCTATAGTATCAGTCAATCTAGGCTTTATTGGGCTCATGCAAACTCTGAGAAAAAGGGGGAAATTGTTTGTGAACTGCCTTTTTAAAGCTGCAACTTGGCCTAAATTGGCAGTGCCCACATTGAAAAGCTAAATTCTCCTTGAATGAAAGTTTTACAATCAAACAAGAAAAATACTTTGGTATCTGTGACAATTGAAGACGAGCCTTTCAAACTTAGGAATCATACACCAGCAGTTGAATATAGTGGTGGAAGCGTCATGCTATGGGCTGTTTTACTGGAGAAAAATGCAAGAGTAGGATACAGGAATTACCTAAAAAATCGTCAATTTTGTCTCAGATTATGAACATAATTGGGTGGTTCAAATGGACAATAATCCCAAACACACACCAGAAGTCCTAAGAGGCTTTTAATTCGATATGTTGTCAGACTGTATGCAAATATGAATACTCGTGAGTGCAATTTTTTACACACTATATATAAAAAGAAGATGAAAGAAAATCCACATGCTGCCAGAATGATGAGTCATATTGAAATGAAAGTAAAATTTTGAAATCAGATGCACATCACCCGGTAATCATTAACATCTCTTTTGCTTTCCAGCTGTTCAAAGTTGAACCATTTTTTGATTAAGCTTAACTGATCACCATAAATGCAGCTAATCGGAGTTGACAGTACTATCATTTTTAAGTTCAGTTTTCAAATGACTGCATGGAAAACAAGTGAAACAACGGGTCAAAAATGAAAATGTGTCATAGGGTGTGTGTTTACTCTCCCCAGATGGGGGCAAGGAATTTCACCCAGCCATGTTCTGAACCCGTTTCTGATCAGTTTGTTAAAATATAAACTGATCAAATATATATTCACTTGGAGTGCCTTGCAACAGGATTTACACCACTTGAATGTTTTCGTATTTAACAAACATCAGCGCGTTTTATTGAGATTATTTGTGATCGGCTAACAAAGTAGGAGATATTTTATTAGAAAGAGGGGAAATAATCCTTTCATATTTATTTATTTATTTATTTATTTATTTATTTTTATTTTTATTTTTTTACAAATTAAAGGTAATGTTCTGAATGGGTTGTCAGATCGTCAGTCATTACAACAGTTTAAAGTCTCGTCTCATTTGGAGATTACACTCAAAAGTTTCCAGAATCGCAAAGACAATCGCACAGCTTCTTGTACTTCACACCCCCTGCCTGAATGTAACAGTTACACACACACACACAAAGTTCTGCAATATAATGTAGGGATGGAAAATGAACGTAATAACGCATATAAATATTAAATTGTGCAGACTTGCCCAACAGTGGCCCCTCTTCTTCCATTGTCTGACAAAGTCACTGACTAACCAGTTCAGACTTGTTTACCTTGAAGAACCGACTCTGACTGCCATACAGGAAAGGCTGCTGGGATTCAAGTTGTCAAAGTTCTGTTTACACCTTGACATTAGGACAGGGGATATACATCCACACTGATTTATGAGGGACCTCAGAGGTTTTAGGGTGAACAAAAAGTTCTGGGAACTACCTTAGGAGCTGTTGGAATAAAGTCCTGTTGTCTGTGTGACTAAACTGCCTATATCGGACAGACAAGTTGCTTTCAAGCTGAAAGACATTCCATGCCTTTCAGCAACTCGAGATTTGCAACTTCCCATTACTTTAAACATATTGGTTTTTTTCTCACTGGGGGAAAAACAAACAAATATATATATTATGGGGTTGTTTAGTTTCTACATCAGATTAAGAGAGTCATCTTTGATGTGATGCTATGTTGATAATCTATTATACTTGAATAACTTGCAGATTTTGTTTCTGTGCAATGTCTGACAACTTTTATAATCAAATGCTGGAGAAGACAGGCAACGTGAGGACTTCCCAGGAGTTTTGCGCCTGAGTTTTTCCAAATGCCTTGGCCAACAAGAACTTTGTTCTGGTTCTTGGAAATCAGAGTGACCTGTAGCTGACTTAAGGCCTGAACTGAGGAGCTGGGGGGGGAAATGACTAATGAATACACAGACCTGAATACATGTGCCTATGGGGAAAATAAACAGAGAAAACCTGAAGGATTAACTAAGGAATTTGGTGAATTTACTAGTTCTATTTTGGGTCGCTTTCAGTATTTCTAGTGCTGACTTATGACAACAGGATTCAAAAGGTTGTAGAGGTAAACAATATCTATTATTGACCAATTCATATATTTTTTTTGTTTTTCTTAGTTTCTCCATAGGATATGAATAGAAAGGCAACAATCAATTATTTGAGTATAAGTGGTAATCTAAATCTAAATTTTCTTTCCAGATTATGGCTTCATCAGTGTAAAAGAAGCCATTTCCTTCAAAAGCCACACATCTTCACACACATTGCGTCAAAAGTCGTTTAAAAAAAAAAAAAAGACTGTTGACAGAATCGGATAGGAGATGGTATCGCAAAAAGAGCAGTATTGCTTCTAAACATAGAACATTCGTTCGGAGTGTTCTCTCTTTTACTAACATCGAAACTTGACTCTCGTGCTTTGAGAGGCCATGTGATTATTTCTAAGTCTTTATCAGCACTCCACACACTGCTGCCGTGCGCTATACATAGAGAGTGACTTGGAGGTGCAAAGCCTTCACACCATGGAAATAGATTCATCATGATGGCTACACACACAGACGGATGAAAAACTCAGGAGTCCAAATGAAATATCCCGGGTTCAGTCAATGTTATCATCCCGGATCACAGCTAGACGGGATTTAAGGTTACGCGTTAATTCTTAGGAATTGCGTCATGGCACTGCGGCGATGTGAAATGAAGAAAAAAGATCTCAAATAGTATCCCCTAACAGTCTGAGTCAACGTGCTATTAATTTCAGACCCTTCGGTTATTGTGCAACATCAGCAGAGGTTTGAATTTGTAGGTCAAACCACATCTAATCTCACTACACAGCTGGGACTAAGATATTTCTCTCGCGCATTGTCGCTGGCATTTATAGTCACACATACATTATGATCACAATGTCTTTAAAGTTGCAGTAGCTACCATCTGTTCGCTCAAACAACACGCGAGTGGCATGGCTGAGGCATCAAACAGTCTTAGTTATCCAACAGGATGTACACTTTGCTATGCCCTAGAGGCTCACTACAACACGAACTCATTTCAGTGTTGATGATATGCTTCTCATTTCATCTGTCGACAGATATTAAAGCCACCAGCGGTGAATAGTTGCGGTGAGGACTTGGCCACACATCTTTGTGCAAAGCCATATGTCGCAACAGACATAAGCGACGGCAGATTGTGGCTAGAAGCTCCTCTGTGAGGTGTTGAGCTTCTGCTATCTCTGTAGCTGCGTACCAACACCACAAAGGACAATGTTTTCCTTTCTTACTGAGGCTGTCGGCACAAATAAGGTTCATTCTTACAGGGTGACTCACTCAAACGTGGATACGTGTTTAGAGTTGGACTGGTTGTGTAATTTCATTAATTGATGGCTGGCAGGTTTGACTGGATCTAGAAAGTGTACACGCCATTGTTTTAGATGTAAACAAATCAGACTGCTGTATGTTTAGCTTGTATATAACTCTGTTCATTATCCATCCAGCCATCTGTTGTCTTTATTTGTGTGTCTTTGCAGGTTCCTGGGGAGCTGGTGTCTGTCTGGAGATAGAAGTGTCATAAATATACAGATTAAATATGATGCTGTTGTCATTGTGACAAAGTAAACTCTCCATCCTTTTGTGTCAGATTTTTATCCTGTCGGTGACCTTCTCTTCTTCGCCTGCTCCTAAAACCTACAATGGCTCCATTAGAATCCATTATTAACCTTCACACCTTGGTCCTAATTGATATTTGATTGATGTTGCGATCACGTCTCTGTCTCGGAACAGTGTACAGACTCTGAACCTAAACCTTAAAGAGGCAAGCGGCAACCCTCTGATCCTCAGCTCTCACTTGCGCAGGACATACCACAGCTGCGTGGCGCAGCCAAGACAGGAGCAGTGATTCAGAGGGACAGATATGCCAGGAGGGACGCAACAAAGATGAAAGAGAAAAGGGAGACGTAAACGTAAACGGAGGGAATGCAGTGAAGAAGAACCAGAGCAAAGCAGGAAAACTTCTCTTATTCATCCGACTTGGTCCGTCTGTTTGGGACGCACTAACCTGCAGTGGGCCGCTGGCTGGCATGGTGGATCTCATTGACGCCAGGTCGATGTCGCGTCCCTGCTCTCCTCTCTCCGTCTTCCCCAGTCCCTGCATCATCAGGCCTGCAGCGAGCGCTCCAGAAGTCGAGCTAAACACACGCTTTAGAGTCGCTCCCACAGCAGCGAAAAAATGCCAATGCGACGATGGCAGAGGTGGTTGTGAAAGGAAGATGCCCTGGAAGCCAGGCGCCGAGCACCAAGTAAGGCCAGGCAGGACAACAGAGGGACAAACAAACGGCTTATTCAGTCCATCCTGGTCTCCTCCTCTCACCGATTCACACTTTGCAATCTGTCTGTCTGATGCTCTCTTCTTCTTTTTTTTTTTCTTTTTTTTTGTCTTTTTAGACACTTAATCTATTGTAGTTTGTTAAAACCTGGAAAACAATCATAATTCACAGTGGAAAAATATTCTCCAATATTTGAAAATTATCAGTACTATTGCCACACTACCATTCCTACTTTGGGTTTTCTGCAAGAAATTCACTGGAACACAACAATAGACTTTCAGGAGACTCACCGCTTTGTCTCCTCGAGAACAGAACGCTGGCTGTCGGCAATTGAAATATGGCAAATGTTAATTATTCCCACTTAAAAGCGTAATGTTTGGCCTCATTTAATGTCAGGCAGTTTTCAAAAAGTGTCAGTAAATATCTGGTTACAACTATATATTCTAGATTAGGTCTTTATCAAGTAAAGGTAAAGATTTTCACCTGCTTGTTATAGTCATTCTCCTGTAGGTTTCTCTCTAATAATGAGACCCGGCTCATCGTGTAATTTCATTTCTCTTGAGCTGATTAAACTTCCAGAAAGTCCCCGGAATATGAGCTGATGCTGCCTGAGCAACGGGTTTTGTTTTTGTTGCTTCATTCTCCTTCTCCCTGCTGTCTTTTGAGGATTTTGAGGCTGTTCAAAAGGCTGTGATAGATTTTTTTTTATACTTATGTGTACTTTATTGGACTGAAAGTGACTAAATTAATCCCTAAATTGGAGGTTAAACACAAACCCACAGGCATTTAATTTCTGTTCCCAGAAGAAGCTTGCACAAGACGGCTCATTTAGCCAAAACCTTTTTATTTTCTGGTTCCAAGAAGGAAAAAAAAAACAAAAAAAAAAAACAAGATTATTTGGAGGATGACATTTACAGATCCTCCTCCAAACGATAAATCCTGATGTCGACAGAACAGCTTAAGTTATTTGGTAAACATATTTGCTTATCTCTCCCAGTGTTAGGTTTGTACCAGGTGGATAAATACTACTTTGGAAAGGTTTTGGTTTACCTAAGATGAAAGACTGAGGTTTGAGAGGGAATGCATTCACAGATTCTAGATTGCTTATACGTCTCAATATTTCCGTATGTTTTGCTTCGAATCTTTTGGTGTGGTGTGAAGCAATTGCCCTGCAAGCTTCCGGCTTTCAAACTTCAGTTTTTTCATGACCATTTTCAGAAGGATTACGGTAATCTTTGAACCATTTGAACCTCACATATTTATGACTTAAGCACAAATCTGGTACCCCGTTATGTTGACGTGTAAACAAATTCTGAAAATAAAATCTGAAAATTCATAAAGCGCAAGATGTAAAATGTTCTAAGGGAAATGAATACTAGCAGCATGCCTCAGAAATAGTATTGTAGCACAATAAAAATGACACCCATTGCAGTATAATTAAAAATACGCTATGTCCAGAAATATCAGGAACTGTTCATTTAAAAACGCTTCAAGCCTATAAAATGAATTTCAGGCTATAACTGTGTAAACAATTAGAAAACACAAGTTAGATCCTAACCTGTAAATTGATTCATGCGCAAATGTGTTTTGCCAAAGTGTTAAACAAAAAGTGTTTAAGGAAAATTTAATTTTCCAAGTAGTTATTCTTAAGAAACGGCAACCGAGAGAAATGGTGGAGGTGTGTCAAATTACAGAGGAACTGGCAACGAGTCTCGCAGAGTCGCACCTCTCTGGAACGAACTGCGGCTGTTAATATTTACAGCCGTTCAGAAGGCACGGTAGAGTCTATACCACGGTTTATGGCAGCACTTCACTCCCCGTTGTTGGCTGCCAGCTAATAACTGATGTAATAATGATACTGCACACCGTCATGCTGACATTTTGATTAGTTTGGCATCTGATCAAAAGGAATGTCTATTTACCAACACCTTCATATTTCACCATGTCTTTGGGAAATCCTGGGTTCTGTTTTTTTTGTTGTTGTTCTCCCATCCGTCTTCCTAGGTTTCTGTTTCCTGGTATGAAGTTTCTCCTGAGACGAAACTCATCATGTCATCATAGGAGGAGTGCATCTCATTGCAACTATACTCTCCTGGGGGTTTGATTGGTGTTTTCGTCACTATGGACTCCTTCACAGGTTCAGTTTTCTAAGGCCATTCGAGTACCACTGGATTTGATGGGCTTCGTTTGAATGTGAAGCGGTAACTGACTTTACTGCCCACTTGGTATCTTAGCCTTTTCTGTTCTCCATTCTTGGTCATGCCACCTGATAACACCACCACGCAAATTTAAAATTCAAAATCCGCATAAGTTTCCTAAACGTGTGGAAGGTTTTCTGCATCGCCATCGTCAGTTTTAGTCATGGTGAGAACATGGATCTCTTGGCTGTCATGAGGGGATGTAGGTTAGGTTTTTATCTGTACAGATACAGCGTCCTATGTGTGTTTATTTTAACCTGGTAAGACATCATTAAATATGTTGTCAGACCTCGTCTTTTTAAAGTACGTTCATGTGCATTGCAGAGCGACGAACTCAAGACTCCTGCTTGCAGGAACATTCCTTGCAGGATCTTTATCACCAGAATAGAGGCCGTTCTCGATGTGGCAGTGAGCTATATGGATAAAACTGACTTGACTGAGCTTGCCGTGACAAATTATCACTCGTTCTCCCCTAGAGTCATGTGAATCAATTAAGAAAAATGACTCATGTAGTTTGCGAACATGAAAGTGATCAACATTTCATCTCATACATAGCTGTGGTGGAGAGAACAGCATCAAAGTGAAGTGCTGTTGCATTAATCATCAAGAGAAATTGTTTTTTTTTTTTCTTTCTTCAAAACATCTGCAGGCATGACATAGAAATCTAAAAAACAAAAAAAAACAGAGTTCTGTTAATGGTAAGCTCAGATAAGTTGGGTGTGATTAATGTATATGTCAAGTATATGAGACATTTCTAGCAATTGGAGACCGGCAGGATAATTAAAGTTTCCTTGAAATGGCAACTGCTTTTAAAAACCTTGTAAACAATTTGCGTGAGAAATGTTGCAGAAACTCAATAAATCCAAGAGGACATTAGATGTGATCTCCACTGTGACTCGGTAGGAGAAATCGATTGCGTCTGATAATAGTGGAGGAAAAGTCAACGATTGCAGGTTAGAAAAACCGACTGTTTAGTCATTAAGAAATCCTCCAAAACGTTAAAAATGCTGTCAAAGTTTTCCCATCTCTACACACCTTTTCTGACTTCTTTGACTAGAAGACTTGGCAATTTAGTGACCTATTAAAACCCAAATAGGCCACTAAACTAGAGCAGGGGAATTGTGCGCAATTTTCACTTATTCTGCAAGCTTTTGGCTTTTCATTACAAGTGGAACGTCATAAACTCTCGTCTGCCCTTCAACCTGTCAACGTTTTCCCATTACTTTTATTTTCCTTCTGATCATGTGAAGCACTTTGAATTGTTGCTGGAAATGTGCCACTCAAATAAAGCTGGCTTGTCTGGGTTGCCACAGTAAAAAAAACTATTTTGTAGAGGAGAAAAACGCTGCCATAACTCACTCCTGCTATTTGTGTGCTGGCTTTACTAAACAATGCAAATGCTTTCTGCTCACTCCATCCATCCACTGACGCAACTGACGAGCGTTAGGAACCACATTGGAACTACGTGTCTGAATTTGACTTTAGCTTGACTCATAAACTCTAGTTTGCAAATTTATGCATCATATTGCCTCACTTTTCCTGGGAGCCTTGTTTTTTTTTGTTGCAAAAAGTAGTACCTAAGAATAGCAACAAGTCCAAACAAGAAATGAGAAATTTCAGTTAACGTTCTTTATGTTTATGACCCATGTTTTATAATACCAAAATGAAAAATAAAAACTCTGTCACTGTTGTAAAACAAACACTTTCTGTGCCGCGTGGTTGTAAAATGAACTTAATAGCTAGCAGTTAGCGTATTTCATGACGCTAAACCTGTCTTTCGGCGTGAGCAGCAGTGTTTCTCAGGAACTGGCGTTTAAAACGGTTTTGTTCTGGTTTTGAATGATTCCCTAAAATCAGCTGAGGCAACATCTGTTTGCAGACTCTGTCTTTTGTCAGCCCGCTTTAGTTGTCTTTGTGTCATTTGTTCAGTGGCTCTTTCTGTTCCTCACAAAGAGAAGGCTTCAGCAGCTGAGTGCCAGGCAGCGCTGACCTCTCACTTTCTACCTCTTTGTCACACTCGCATGCACGTACAAATACACTCTTTACTGGACACTACCAGTCTCTCCTCCTATAAAGAGGCCTTTATGCGCCAGAGAGCTTATTAGCAATGACAGAAACGCACATTTCCTTGTCTCAACTTTATTCCAGTCACGTTCTAAGGTTTTAGAAGCTGATTATTTCTAAATTCAGACACACACACACACACCCACACACACATGCAATGCTCTACCAGGAAGCCACTTCAAAGTTAACAGAGCAAAGTTGTACATCTCCACTCCTGATGACAGCTGATAACAGCAGCCGTGCACCAGCAGATCAAAACAAGCCTCTAAAGTCTTGCCCACACTCATGTACAAATATAGGCATACGTACGTACAGCAGGCGACCTGGGATGAAGGCGTAACGGATCAAAGCGATAGTCCGTGTTCCTGACAGAGCAACAGGTGCTTGTGCGCTTTTATCTTTCACCTGGGCGGAGAGGTGGTGTAATTTTATTTTATTTTTTTCCCCAAAAAGCTTCCGTAGCAACTTAAAACTTTCAGCATGAAAGCAGTGTGCACTTAAATACATCATTGTTCCAATTATATAGTCATATAATGCAGAAAAAGCAGTGCACTGCTGTTGCTGATGTACATTTAAGGGTTTAAAGCGCAATGTAAGACTAACATAAGTAGTTCACGACCTATTTGCACATCATCCAAGTGAAATAAAATCTTTTAAATAAAGCAAACAGAGACACTATGTTTATGTATTTCTTGTTAAACTCAAAATTATTGATAGTTTTGATTTCTTTTCCTTCTGAATGTTTGTTTTTATTTCCATCTGGTCCATTCATTGCTTGACCACAATAAAAGAGGAATGAAGAGTATGCAGATGTCTTGGCGTTTTAATAAACTTCACACTAACTTTGCTTTTTAAAGGCTGTAGGCAAAGATCCAGCTAAAAACAGACCTTTGCCTCAGCCTCACCTTGTCATAAGGTGTGAGGTTGTTGATGGTGAGGAGAGACGCTGAGACCCAGGTTATGGTGATGATGAAGGTTTAATGATGAATAAGCACCCAAACAGTCCAAGGCAGGCAGCACGGCAAAGAGACAGGCACACAGCCAAATACCGGTAGCAACTGAACACACAGGACTGAAAAACGAGAGCTAACGCTATCCAGGACTTCACAGTTCTACTGGAGCGAAACACAAGACGTGACACAAACGACACTGACTTATGACAATACACACGACGAGGATCCGACACAGACAAAGACAACAGGTGGGGTTAAATACACAGGGAAGGTAATCAGGGAACTGGATACAGCTGGGAGCAATCAACAGGGAAGACACAGAGACAGACTCACAGGACTACACAGAAACTCAAAAATAAACACACAGAAACATGGAACATGACACACCTGAGAGAAAACCGTTATGGATACAGAAACACACAGAGGGAGCAGTTCGAAAACAGCGTTTGGGTAATCTGTTGTGGATCAGTACAGAAACATGTTTAAGTTGATTATTTCTGTATCTAAGTGGGGTGCTATTTTTTTTTTCCTGTAAAGTATCTTGAGAGGCCATATTTTGCAATGATTTCTGGAGGCTGATCATCTGCTGGTGTTGGTTCACTGTGTCCAAATTTGGCACGTCTGTCCATCAGGATACCTTAGAGCTTGATGCTTTCCTCTGCTGACGAGCTGTATGTAGATCCTGAATTAATCAGCAGGACTGGACTCCTGCCCACAATGTCCAAAGTACAAATGCCTTCATGTAACTTAACCCTGCCTCAAACTTCAGCTCAACCTTCTCGCTGACCCGTCCGCTGTGCTCCATGATGCTGTTCATTCACCAGAGATGCATAATAAATCTCCTTTGGGGAACAGCTGATTCATGAGCTAAAATTACTTGCAGATTGACTTTATTTAGTAAATAGATATCCTCGGCGACCAGTTAGCTACGCTTGATTCTTTTTTCTTCTTTTTTTTTAATACAATTTGTGTTGCTCTTATACATACATAAAATGTCAAGAAAAATATTGAGGTTTGTGGTTGTGATGTAGGAAAGTGTGTAAATGCCTATGTCTGCAAACCATTGTAGAATCAACAAAAGTAACTAATTTACATTAGGACTCTCATGTAGTTTTATTCTTATCAAAGTTAGGGATATAGCATTAAGACTGGATCCACTGTGCATATTAAAGTATATGTGCAAATTAAAATAGGCAGTTGAAAATTTTAGCTATTTCTCAGTGGCACAAAGTCATGTTGAGGTGTTTAGCCTCAAGCAAAAGCAACATTGAAACGATTAAATACTTTGTTTTTCAGTCAGCGTCTCCATAACGTTAAATAATACTGTAGAGTTCTGGGAATTTTGGTATAACAGAAAAAGCTAATTTAGCAAGAAACTCCGTTGTTGTGGTTCACAGTCCAGAATTATGAAACTCATTTTGACCATGTTTCATCTCCGTCACCATCTCCTGTTCTGGCCAGTCCACTTTTACGCTGTTTACTGTAAAATAACTTCACCTCCATTTTTTTTTTTTTTGCCACACAAAATTTAATAGGTTCCTTTCAAAGGAAATCATCAAAAAACAAACCCTACAAATGTTCTGACACACTTGATAAAGCAGAACTCCCATTGTCTGAAATGGGTCAGCAACGTAACGCCGTCGGCGTCCCTGCCCTGGATCTATTGTACTCTCGCAGATGAAGACCAGCTGCTCTGTCTTTAAAAAGACAAGACATTAGTAAAGGTGCTCTGAAGTGATTCAGGATGTTGGAACTCGCAATGTTTAATAAGCACTCTTGATGCTCCAATTGTGGACATTATCAAAGATTTCCATTGTGGGGGAAAAAAAAAAATGACTCGAACATAAAATAACACCTGCCCCACTTTTTCCATAAATCCACACTAAGCCGTTAATGACTTATTTTATTTGAGATGCTTCGATTTCAAAATAAATAAACTTTAAGACAAAAAAAAAAAAAAAAAAGAAAAGGGCCTCGATTCAAGTACTGTATGTAAATAGGACTGTGCAGTCGCCTGCACATGATTGGCTCTGATGGTCATTGGCCACGTGACCCTACTGTGGCGAACTTAAACTCCGAATCATACGTCACAGATTGACGTCAATGACCGACTGAACCAGAGTCTTTGAATGTAGG